TGCTGTGTTGATGTAGAATCAGAGCAAATATATTGAAAAAAGTCAAATACAAAATCAAAACAGAAGATTCTCTTTTGGGCTCTGTTACTGAATATATGGTAAATTAGTTTGGTCCCAAAATTAAAAAGCAGAATATTGAAGATGTATTTAATATTTAAGTTTTTACTTTGTTGTGCTGCTGCTTAATTTTTGAAAAGGTGCTTGCAGTTTTGCACAACAAAAAACTGTTTTGATTGCAGTGTTGAAGCACTTTAGGATTCTTCTAAACACCATCTTCACCTGTTTTTATATTGTTTTGCATGTTAAAACTGTTTGTGTTGCAAATCTTGATGTTCCTCTTTGTGATCCTGTAGTTAAGGTTGAATCAGCATCATACTTTAAACATAAACCTATTTTCAGAGATTTAAAAATTTGGGTTTACTTTTTTTTTAATAGGCTAAAATTTAATGCACTCTAAAATGTCAGTTAGAAGCATCATTTCCCCATATCTAAAATGGTTTGATTAGCAGCATGGTTGCCTGGCCACTAGTTATATAGATATTATAGTTTCTTGGTTATAATAGCAGGATCAGCTAAGAACATTAGGTCCTTTATTGAAACCAGAGTCTATTAATGCATGCTATGCTTCAGAGGAGAGCTGTTGTTTTATGGTAATGTCCATACACCCTAATCAGGATTGAGGCTTTATTGCACTAGGTGCTGCACAAACACACACGCAGGCATAGTCCCTGCTCCAAAGAAATTATTCGGTGGCACTGATCCTTCCAGTGGGGAACGGGGCTTAGAGTATCATCAGCCAGGAACAGTAATCAGCTAGAGCCTTATTTTTTGTTCTCACGTGCCCTGCTAAAGGCCTAATAGCTGAAACATTGATGGTAATATTTATCGCTCTCCATGTTTATGAAAATGAAGCTAAAATTTTAGAGCTTTAGAATAGCACACTGCATGTGCTCACTGCTATCTTCTAAGGAAAAAATTGGTAACTTAAAGGTCAAATGTGTGCAATATTTTTGTAAATGTCAGATGTTTGATGGGTGCTAATTTTTTCAATGAAATTGGCAGATTAGCAATGTTGTTGTCACTTTTGATATATATATTTTTTCAAACGGCTGGCAGCTTAAACTTTAAACTGACTAATGTGCATGTTCAGCTTTTTGAAATAAAATTCAGAAAAATTCTTACAGTAGTTTACATTTCCATTATAGGTTAATGCCTCTTAGGAGCCATTGGTTTATTGTCTGAATAAAAAACTTCTAAAAACAAAACTCTATCAATACATAACTCTTTTTCAAAAGGCCAAAATTATATTACATATTGATAGAGCCAAAAGTGCTGTTCTAGTCTTTCATGTAAGAGATGTGTTTAAATAGAGACAAATAAATGCAAGGTTACTATAATATGCTTTGTCCAGTACAATGATGCCTTTCTGGTCTCTAGATTAAATTACAAGGATTTTACTAGTTTCCATCTGAAATTTTGAGCAAAAAAGAGATGTATTTCAAATGCAAATACATTACAGTGATTTAACAGTTTTTAATACAAACTGTCAAGTCCAGGAAATTCAGTCAACAGTGTGACTGAATGAGTTGAAGATGAAATATCAGCCTAAACAGAATTTCCTGGATTTTCCTGATTTCAGTCACAAGCATAATGTGTTTATATTTATGAAATGGTTTGTGTTTGCTTAGTTTTAGCAGGTGTAATTTTTATGAGAATGTTCTATATAAGGTATCTATGATATGGATGTTTAACATTTGCCTAATCACATTTTGAAACGTCTGTTCTCTAAGAATTTTTTCAAAAGTCTTCATTTGTGTTCACTCCCACCAAAATGTGTATGTTATAGGTTTTTTCTATGGGTTAACCAATTATCACAAAAAATAGCATCAAGCCCTAATACATATCTTGTTCAGAGTTTATGGCCTTTATTTTAGTTACAGTATGGTATGTGATTTCAGAAGAGATGTGCTTTTAAGTCTAACTGTATAGATATATAAAGTGGCCTATTCTGCCTAATAAACTTGGCTTTGATTGCCATATTTCATTCTTGATGCTTGTGCAATAGGGAAATGTTCTGTGTAATGGCAGTGGCTATTTTGTCTTATGCTGGATTTTGATTTCAAGAAGATTAAAAGATTTTTTACGGACAGCAGTCATTCCTTGTTTTCAGACTGATTTCAAGGAAGCTAGAATTTTCATAAGGAATGTTGTCAATAGCTAACTCTGACGTGCTAGCTATAGCCTCATCTAAAATTTAGTTTCCTGAGGTTTTTTTCTCCAAAAGTCTTATTTTAGAACATCAATATTAAAACCACTGTAAAATTTCAAATAAATATGTGAACTTAAAGTCTGTGAGAAGCCTGTTTCATTTACTGCAGCAGTGTTATCTTTTTGTCTTCAGTTTTCTTGCTTCGAAGTTATACATTTACTCTACATTTGGTATGCATCCGAAGAAGTGGGCTGTAGTCCACGAAAGCTTATGCTCTAATAAATTTGTTAGTCTCTAAGGTGCCACAAGTACTCCTGTTCTTTTTACATTTACTCTAGGATGTTGCACTAGAAAAATATACACTTCCAGTCATTTTGTAAGATAAAAATTCAGTTATTGTAAATTTCAGTTAACCAGTGGTTCTTAAAATGCAAAAATTAATAGTGTGAAACTCCAGTGCATGAGATTTTTTAAAAAACTGCTTATAACTGTTTTCTCATGATTCGCTAGAACAGCCTGACGTAGTAAGAATATAATTACCAGATGGAAAATATACAGTGAGAGACAGATTGTAGTTACTCCTGGGGGAATTCTGCGCCAAAAAAAATGCAAAATTCTGTGCCAAAAATGCAAAATTCTGCATATTTTATTTGTCAGAAGAATGCAATATAATTTTGGTAATTTATTTAACCTACCATACAGGGAAAAAAAAATCACAAGAATTGTTCAGCATTTCCTAAACACATTAAAGTTAAGTTACCAAAACCTTGAATTCCAGTTACAATCCTGGATTTTCATTTAAATTACATTACTTTTATTTTGGTGTTTGGTGTTCTGTAAAGTTGAATGTCATTTTAAATTGCTCAGACTTTCACACATGAAAGTCATAAAGTTTTGCTAATCATTGTCCTGCATTTTTTTTTTTAATGGATAAGTAAAATAAATCCTGAGCTGTAATCTAACCCCATTGTGCCTCTCTGGCATAGGAAAAAAGGCGAGAAAGCACATAGACCTTCCTAGCTGAGGATTCTGTTACTGTCATTTGGCTCCTTTGCACCACTCTGGCAAGGTAAAGGAGCCTTAATTGACTAAGAATGAGAACAATTAATTAACAATGGGAGCATTAGCAGCCTGCCAGCTTTGTTGTTAGATTTCTGCTCTGCCTCAGGGACAGAGCCGTTTTATACAGCCTTATGCCTCCAAGCCCAGGGGTCATGTCTCTCACTTGCTCATACACAGGCATGTGCCCAGCCCCACCCCTTTAACATCTCTCCAGGGATGCATACACGCCCGCCCCCCCCGCCCCCAGATGATCTGCACTCTGCTGCCGGCTGCTCCCAGCAGACGTTCTCCGGCTGCGGGGGAAGGGGTGTGTGTTCCAAACAGATTTCTTTGCTTCCCCATTTTTTTTTTGTGGGGGAGCCAAGAAATCTGCAGAAGGTATGGATTCTGCGCCCCCGCAGAATTCCTCCAGGAGTATTATTGTGCTGAGTAATCAGGTACTATTGACAGCATTAAGAA